GTTTACTTCTGAAGTTCAAAATCAAAGATCAATTAAAGATTCTCAGTATTAGTAGTAATGATAGTAAATTAAATCTATCAGAATTGTTAAAATTATTGATAAACTGAAGTTTCCAAGATAAATTTTGAGCATTCTAAATTTGAAATCAATTTTTTAGAGATAAATAAACCGACAGTTCTTAATATGACTTAAACACCGTCATGTGAGAAGCTTTTCTGCTTACGAACTCTTAACTTCAAAGTCAGCAGAAGGTTTGCGTGCTCTGTAAATCTGTGCTCAGTGATATTGAAACTTGGTTAATTAGTTTTTCATCGCGGTAAAATACTTCATTTTTAGTGTCCGATATATAAATAGTCAGTCAGTTTTTCATAAGTGCTATAATTTGCAAAGTTTAATTGCTACTTCAAACAACGATTTTACAGTTATGTGCAAGAAAGTGGAAGGGTAACTAAATAGGCATACAGACAAGCAACAGCGGAGCAAAGTGAATCACAGAAGTAATCTTAGCTAAGCGTAGCATTGTGCAAATACTAGTGAAACAAGATCAGTAGCGTTGTTGTTAGTACGTTGTGGGTTACTAATAGTAATTCGAGAACTGATTAAGTGACAAAAAAGCAAAAGTTGCAATTATTTTTGTTACCCAGCGCAAGTAATCACAAATAAGTAAATAAATAAATACTTTTTCATTTGATTGAATTCCTTCCCTGTATGTGTGTTCTACCTTTGAAACTCTTATTTTGCCAACTGGCAGTGTTTTGTTGCTCGAAAATAGTTTGAAGAGCCAAACTGGTTTCTTGAAGAATACATGCATTCATTTTTGCAAATCACATTACAATACATCCCAAAAAAACAATTAATTAATTAATTCTTTGCGAGTGCAGAAATATTTTAACAAAGTCGATATGATAATTTTTATCTGTTCATCAAACTACAACAACAATTAATAATCTACACAATAAGTAAATGACACTTTCACTTCTGTGCTTCTGCATATTAATGAAAAAACTAGTGATCCACGTAGTTTGCGATTAGAAACGGAAATATGTAATCAGTTTGGTGATATGAAACATTTGGCAAGTGATGGAGTGAGTGAGTATATGTAGTGAAAAATATTACCACTGTTTTTAAGTTGAGAGACTAAATAGTTTTCACGTACTAAAGTTGATAATATTTTAGTAGTTAAAAAAATGAAACAAATGAATTAAAATAGAATGGCGGGATTATAAGGAATCAGGCAAATCCTATATTTCGTACAGCGAATATGGGACAAACTTTAAGCGAATAGCTTATATTTATATGACACGGATTTGATTTCAAACACAGAACTAATTTCATATCAGTCAAATATGGCGTAAGTTTGTAATAAATTTATTTTGATATTAAGTTCTGCTCTAAATAAAAGTAAGCAGATGAAAGTTTTATTCATAAGTGAAATGAAAGTCGAGAATAATTCGGCTGTTGCATCGTAAATTAAATTTCTCAGTTCAGCACGGCTCACTGATAAGCTGCTAACTATTACTAATGGACAGAGCTTCAGCATACTTTGCTGCACAACGCATCAAAACTGATTGCAATTTAATTTCCCCCTTACGTAATTTAATAAATACTAAAATTTGAAACAAATCAGTACGAAATAAAAAGAATAAAAGAATAATATTGAAATATATTAAAGTTTTCATCTACGGTTTTCTCATTTTCCATTCAGTGATGGTACTGATTGCTGATTAGCTTCAGAAATTCTTCTCTTGTTTTAGCATCCTCTCTGAAAGCTCCCATCATGCAACTCGTAGTGGTGATAGCGTTTATTTTTTGAATGCCGCGCATTGCCATACACAGGTGACTGAAAAAGCTCAACTTTATTGAAATTTGACCTTCGACCTTTATTTTTAGATGCAAAAAATGTTGCAAAAAAAGTCAAAAAATTTTATCGGCTCAGAAGCTAATTAACTTAATCAGTTTGCAAGCAAAAAAAATTAAGCAAATATATTCTAATAGTCAATAAAAATAGTAGTCGTTGAAATGGAATCAGATGGCAAACTTTGCTTCTATAACAATCCCAACGCCAGCAGGTTCGACTGCTTCAGTCAGTGCTGCTGCGACTTGTTTTGTTAATCGTTCCTGTACTAAAATCAGATTCACTTATCATTGAGAATCACAATCGATTGTAAATTTTCACTTGAAACAGTTTTTACGCATGCTAGAATAAATAATGTGCTGTTCAAAATTGAAAAAGGTTAACAGTTTCAAAAAAGTTTGCAAATACTGCTTTTAGATTGCAGTCAAAAATCTTAAAAATTTGAATGAAAGATCAACTTCTGGATTCTCTACTCTTTCTTTAGGATTCCCATGCTTTTATTCAGAATAATCCAGACA